TACGTATGTAAAGGAAGGGGATGGAAAAAGATATTGCTTTGATGGACCTAGAAGGTATTTAAGTCAGATAGAGAAAGATAAACACTATATGATTTCACTTATATGCGGACTCTAAGGAATAAAAAGAACAAACTAATCAGAAACAGACTCACAAATACAGTGGACAATTTGGTGTCGGACAGAAGGGAGGGGAGATTGGGGAGCTGGGAGAATGGGGCAAAGGGCTAAAGAATTACAAATTACTAGCTGATGGATGGTCACGGGGATGGGGAGCATGGCACAGGGAATGCAGTTAACGCTAATACATTGGCTAGGTGGAGGGTCAGGGGAGGGAGGGAGCAATTGGGAAGATGGTTTTATGAACTATATAGATGTCTAACCAATGTACTGTAGACTTGAAACTAAATTAAAAAATAAAATAAAGTCTGGGCATTCTCAAGTCAAATCCCCCAAAGTTTATGCTGGAAATTAAAGTTTTTAGCTGTGTTGCAGTGTCAAATACAGATTCCTATATCTTAACTAATATCAAGAAAGAAATAACATGCAATATAATATTTTAAGATAAAATGATATGCTGCACTTTTTACGCATTCAAAATTTTACATAAAGGGAATAGTTTCTTAAGGGAAAATTGCAAAGTTTAAGCATACACTCACCATAGGCTACAGCAATCGTGCTTCTTGATATTTTCCTAAAGGAGTTGAAAACTTATGTCCACACAAAAACCTGCACATGGAAGTTTATAGCAGCTTGATTCATAATTGCCAAAACTTAGAAGCAACCAAGTTAATAGATGAATGAAAGCATTAACTGTGGGTACATCCAGACAATGGAATAGTATTCAGTGCTAAAAAGAAATGAGCTATTAAGCACAAAAGACGTAGAGGAGCCACTTATGCAGATTGCTAAGTGAAAGAAGACTATCTGAAAAGCTACATACTGGATGTTTCCAACTATATGACATTCTGGAAAAGGCAAAAACTGTGAAGAGAGTAAAAAGATCTGTGGTTGCCAGGGGTCCAGGGGTGGGAGAGAGGAATAGGCACAACACAGGGGATTTTTAGGGCAGTGAAATGTTTCTATATGATACTACCATGGTGGATACGTGTCATCATACATTTATCAAAGCCCATAGAACGTACAACACAAAGCGCGAACCCTAATGTAAACTATGGAATTTAGTTAATAATAATTCTCTATGTGCATCCATCAATTGTAACATTACCACACTAATACAAGACGTTAATAATAGGAGAAATGGGGATAGGTAAGGGGGTCTGTGGAAACTTTTCTATAAACCTAAAACTGCTTTTAAGAACAGTCTATTAATTAGAAATAAAAGTGTAAAGGGTGAGGTTCATGCTTCCCACCAGATCTCCTGGTTGGAGGGCCATGGCAGAGCCCAGGAGTTCATCACAGCACATTGTTACTTGGGTTCAAGGGCAGCCCAGGTACTTGAAGAACAAAGGAAGCATGCAAATGGCAGGCAGATTTAGCTGGTTTTTTTGCATGAATAGAAAACCCATCAAAAAAGCAAAAATCACTCTCCTTTCTGCTCCTTAACAACTCCTCCCACCACCACTGCACGTCTCTTGTATTTTCATTCACACCTGGACCAAATCCTATTGTCAGACTGTGCTTCTTAAGTCCCATGAAGAGGCCCACATGTCCCCCCTGGCCTAGTCTCTGAGCGGTCCTGAGCAAGGGAGGCGGGCTATTTGTAAACTCAGGCCCAGTTTTGTGTCCCATGTGCCTGGAGCACACCCGGATAACCCTCAGCCCGCTGAGGCATCCTCTTCCTTGAGGTTCTGTTGGAGTTCCCCAATTCATTTACCTGAACTTCTGTGTCTCAGTTTCAGATTTACTTCCTGCAGGAATGTAAAGTCCATGAGGGCAGGGAACGACATTTTCACTGCTTTGTTCTCTGAAGTATCTTCTGCACCTAAAACGATGCCTCATTCATAAAAGGAGTGTAAACACTTGTAAAAAATAGATGAGAAAGGAAAATATATACATAGTTTTCCCAATTATTTTCATTTTTATTTTTGGAAAAAGCTCTCTTTTTCTCTAAGACTATGTCCTTCCTACTTCTTTGGTGTTAAAATGGCTTTTCTCAAGTAGTACTGTTTGCCTGTGTGGGAGGGACATTTACTTTTCACCGTCATCCTTCATACCTTTTGGTATTACCTATTTAAAAATAAATAAATACAAATTTAAAGTTAAACATAAAATAATTCCAGTTCTTGCTTTTATGATGGCAACTTTTTATATGTCCATAATTGGCAGAAATTGAAATTAAAGATCGTAATTATATTAATTTCCTAAATTTATTTAATTTTTTTTTTACTGGTAGCAAAATTCCCCAAATCCTAAAGCACTGAGTACACTGTCTTGCACACACTGGGCACTCAAATATTTGATGAGTAAATGAACCACCTCTAGTTTGAAAAGCTTGAGGTTAGTGTACAGACTTCACAAATAAAAGTCTCCCTCAGAACACGTGGAGGGCCCTTGTCCTCTGTCACTGTACCCTAACAACAAACTCCTAATGGCTTTCTCCATGACGAGGTTCTCTCGTCCCCCCACCCCCCACCCCAGTGTCTACAAGCACACTTGGGGGCCACTCCGGGCAGGCTGTGGGGACTTCTGCGGGAACACGCGTGGTGGTGGGTTGAAAGTCAGGCTGCATCTGCGTCAGAAGCACGGGTGGAAAGACACCCTGTGAGACCTGCCCACTGCCACGCTCCCTCCCCGACCTGGGCCTCCTCCAGAGGCCTTGCCTTGCTCATCGGGGGATCCCCACGTTTAGCCGAGTGTGACCTTATTTTGAAAGAACGTCGTTGCAGGCGAGGTCATACTGGAGTGTGGGGGACTTAATCCAGTGTGACCCATTGCTCCACAAGAAGAAAACACCCTGTGACGAGGCAGACACTCAGGGAGCGTGCCCTGTGCAGGGCCACCGCTGTAGGCCAAGGTCTGCCGAAGACTGCGGGAACCAGAAGCCAGAAAGAGGCGAGAAAGGCTCCCCCAGAGTCCCGCAGGGAGCACGGCCCTGCCTATACCTGATTCGGACTCCAGCGTCCAGACGAGAGAACGAATTTCTGCTGTTTGACTCACCCAGTCCGTGGTGCTTCGTGTAACAGCAGCCCCGAGAAAGGGATATTTTAAATGTACGACTTCCCCACCAAGTAACCATCCCACCCGCCACAGTTTTGTTCGGTTTTTTTACCCCGAAGGTGATCATATAATTCGAACTACACGTACTGATAGAGCTCTCCGAGGTACGTATTCCCTTTTCCACTCCCTGGAAACACATGCTTCAGTAGATACACAGCAGGCACAGGCACCCGGGTGCACCCTCGTTAGGGGGCGCTCTGCGCCAGGCTCCGCGCCCAGTGCTCGTGCCCACAGGCCCCCCACGGACCTGGCTGAGGTGCAGATTCAGATTCCGAAGGCCCAGGGACAGCTGAGCCTCCGAACTTTCAGCCCAGTCTTTGGTCCTGCAGATGCTGCTGGACCTCGGACACGCTTGGAGCAGCAAGGCTTTTAGTTCGTGGCCCACCCAGGTCCTGCGGAAAACAGTGGGTGCCCACGGGAGACACCAAGGGCTGGACTGGGCAAAGGATGGAACGGGGTTCCCAAACAGGGGTGTGAATCAGGAGAGGGCGTCCTGCCAGCTCCGCGAGGCTTGCCCTCATGGTGGCACAGGGGACAACATGTCTTCCCCAGGGTCATTTATTTTCATTGCCAATAAAAACATTAACTTTTGGATTTCGACTTACTGATGAAAAGATGGTTAGAATGCCTTTCACGAAATCAGAGACCAGTGCCTCTGATTTCTCTCCGGGATTTTAAAGTTCTTCCTAAGTCCAGATGCTCTGAACACTTAAAGATGCTTTAATAATCACGGTAATAATATTGATAATTTTTAAATTAAGTAATAATTTTAAAGGAAGTCTAGATGGTTTCACTGGTCAAACATCTAATTACTAAAGCAGAGAAGTTGACTGTTGGGACACTTAACCATGGACTTAGGAGAGAGGGTGGTGGGATAAAATGTCACATAGGGCTGTTTTTCAAGTTAATGTTTGACAATGTGAGAAGTGGATTTCATCAGATCAAGAACAGCCTTACCTACCAACCTTGTATCAGAAGCCTGTACCTCGAATAAGCTTTTGTCCTTCTGAGAATACAGCACGAAGTTAACCAAACCTCCCACTTAATGTCACCAATGGGAAGTGCTGGAACCCAAGCCGGCGGCCGGCCTGGGCTGGCCTCGAGCAGACAGCTCCCACCCTCTGCACAAGCCACTGACTGCATTTCTTCAGTGGGTTTTATTACTGTGAAGAAAAACTTTTTTATTTCTACCACATGATTTGACACTAAAAATTATTAAAAAGAACTTAACAAAACCAAAGCCGCAACGAAAAACCAGTGTGTTGTGTATGTATCGTTTTTATGCTTCGGACCGGTTTTATTATTTTTGGAACTATTACAAGACTTCTGTTAAACATGTTGACTGTTAAGAGGAAACAGACTCTTGGCAAATGTGGAAAACCAATTACAGAAAACGTCTCTGCGAGAGCTCGAGAAACACCAGGGAGGCACAGAGGAAAAGCTTGTGCTGCCCCTTCTCTAACTGCCGAAAACACAGACGGAGGGATCGCCTTGAAGAAAAAATACAACTGTTACATCGCCGTCTTTATTTTTATATTTACAGGCAAAGACAGTAAAATGATACTTCTCAGATTTGCTCATAATGTAGTAGAGTACAACATAGAATTACTTCTCAAGATAAATCTGACATAAGGAAAGTAATACTTTCAAAATAAACAACCTAAAGAATGAGCATTTGCTACATTCACACACAAACGAAACTTCACCCCTAATGAATCAAATTACCTTTAAATTTAAACCCTTGAATTAGAAATATTAATTTACTCAGCTTTGGAGAGTATACCTGTTGTATACAGTGAAGAAACAGCATCCTATCATGTAAATACTAATTAAAAGATATAATTTTATCTATGTAAATACTAACAGGATTGAAATAAATGAAGTTTCAATTTCGAATTGATTAAATTTGAAAAACTGTAAAGCTGATCTAGAAAAAGAATCAATAGAGGCGACAAAACGTTTTCAATTACTATTTAGCTATTATTTCTTGATGTTCTCCCATGTGTTGGGCGCTGTGTTAAGCACCAAGATGTGCACATGGGTAAGACATGACCTTGGACTTCAAGGAACTTACAGTTTGGGAAAAGGCAAAGCAGCAATTTAAATACAATGTGGTAAAGATGCAGCCTGCACGGAAGAAGCTCCAGCAAGTTTTCACAGAATATTCTTAACAGGGAGAACAGCATGCTTAAGGGTCAAAGTGTGTGTAGGGAGGAAGAGGAGTTTGCTGTATGAGAGAAAAAGGATGCAGAAGGGCAGGGCCGCAGATTAACCTGGCGCTGTAGGTGGGGGCCAGATCACCGTGGACGTCTGGGGCAGGCATCAGAGGAGGGAAGGAAAGGCACATTCACTGGGGCTTTTTCAAGAGACTTTTAAGAGTGTGGGCAGAGTGAAAGGAAGCAACAAGGTAAGGCATCCAGGGATCAGCAACTGGGAATCCAGGAAGCCATCGATACCCCGAGGCTGAGGGGTCGGAGGCAGAAGATGGCGGTACGAGAACCTGGGGGTGTGCTGGTGCCCGGGAGAGGGGTGGCCACCCGTTTGTTGAGTGCTAAGAAGTACTAGTAACAAAATAAACAAGAGTAGGTGCTTGTTATGAGATTTAAAATGTTTCTACACACTTATAAGGTGCTTTAATGTTTGGATGTGAGAATCATTAGATGGTAATTACATGCTTAATTATGGAACTTTGTAAAAATAAAATAAAAAGACAACTACTAGCTAAGAAGAGGCCAGGTGGTCCCTCTGTAGTCAGGCCTGCCTCTCTGGGCACCTTGGGTATTAAGACGCTGATTGTGGCCCTGCCTGTCACCCACTGATGGCAGTGGGACTTGGTGGGTTTGGCTTTGCCAGATGTCCCTTCCTCCATGCAGTTCTGTGGCTTACCTGCCAGTATTTCACGGAGATGGCGCACCGTTTGTTGGCCAGGGACAAAGCGCGCTAAGTACTGGCGGCAGAGCAGGTGGGAGCGGGAGGACAGCTGAATACAACCCTTTTGTCCCTCTGGGCCTCCGGGACATCAAATCCTAACGCTGATCCTTAATCACAAAAGTTAAACAGACTTAGCCAACTCAATTTCCAGTGATAATGAGCATCAGAAAGCACATGGATTAATGAGTCGCAAATGATCCCCTTCAGAATAATTTTATTTCTAATTTCTTAACCCTCCTGATACGGGAACTGTGAACAAGCAATGACGGGCCCCGATTTGGGACTGACTGCCCTCTTTTCCCACCTTTGGCAGAGCTACAGATGACCACTACCCTGGCCATTAATTGTAGAACCAACGCCTGGAGAGACCAAGGTAAATGAGGGGCAGCAACCCTTTACCTTTGGTTGTCGTTAAGGATGTGCCATATCTCAGCCAAAGGTACAAAGTGAAGAAAGGGGAAAAAAAAGTCTTAAAGGCATAAGCCTTTCATCTCGGCTTTATGCTATCGACCCCCCCAAATTCCTGTGTTGCATTCTTTGTTTCTCCTCCCTTCTCCATCTTCTGAAGGACTGGGTAACATGAACATTCCTCCGATAACGGAATGACAGTACACCAGCACCTTTTTTGAGACCGACACCAATTATATGCAGTAAACACGGCCAGCAGGTATTAACTGGGCCCTATGAAGCAACACATCTGAAAGAGAGAAAAAGAGAAGCAGAGGGTGAGGGGACTTAGTCCTGTGCTACTGTCCATGTATATGTCTGTCTAAAAACAAAAAGATGCAAATTTGAGGGGTGTTTCTCAAACAATGATAGGGCTGCTTGACTTTCTGTAGCAAAATAAATACATATGGCAATCTTGTATCCACATGGTCACCTAAAATACAAATGAACAGAAGGGCTAATGCAAAAATATTTAAATGTATAACTGTCAAAAAGAACTGATCAAAAGTGGATTAATAATCATATCCATAGAAATAAGTAAGTCTGTTTAGTGAGTGGTTGAGGACACACAGCCACATGGCTCTGAGCAGAGTCAGACAGGATTTTAGGCTGGATTCCCAGCTCTGCACTCACCAACTATCTGACTTTGGGCAAGGTTTCCAACCTCTAGAGCTTCAGTTTCCACGTCTCTAAAATGGAGATAATGATTGTATTTGCTCCCTAGGGTTTTTGCGAGGATCAAAGAAGACACTTAGAATGGTGTTTGGCATGTACCAAGTATTCCATCAATATTATCACATTATATAGATAATTCTATAGGTATATATCAAATACCAAAGCAAAAATCCTAAGGAAAAGACTTGCGGGAAAAGTCTAAAACTTATTTGGCAAGACACCTCACACCTTATAGACTATATCATATTACCTGCTGCTTCTGTTCAGTACAAACATCTTAATTTCAGTTTAATCTCTAAATTTTAATCTTTAATTCACTCGCCTTTAAGTAAAATCGGTTTAATTATAAATATCAATTTAAATGCTAGAAGTTTAAATAATCAAAAGTAAATTTGCTTCACTCACAGACATCCACATAACTATTCATGTTTCACTTCCAGGAAAAGCTAGAATCTTTATGGTGATGATTTCTGCTTTTTTAGTCCTTTATTATGATGGGGGAGGGTGCGGAGCCTGGAACAACTATCATCTAAAGAAGCTGCAACAATGTCTTAAAATTTTCCTTGTATTTCTTCGCTTTATAATACCCCCCCCCCACACACACACACACAAAGGACATTGCAAATTAGTATAATTCTGAGGGAAGTCTGTAAAATAAACTTATTTAACATCAAATCTGGTTTAGTGGAAATTCCTCTAATAAGGAATGAGGTCATGTCTCTTGCAATGAATCATGTCCATTAAACTTATCTTCTTTTCTGGATGCTTTCCTTCCTTCATTTGTTTGTCATTTCCAAGTCTCTAATTCTTGTTGATTGCTCAATTAACTGAAATTACTGATATATATTTTTTAATGTTGAAAAGGGCATGAAACTGAAGCTACAAAATATCTGTATCAACACGTCTGCTTCTAACTCTACAATAATTTTTCACGTCGTTTTTTAAAAAGCAAATACCACCTTAATTTTACTCAAAATTCTCTCAACATTTTCCATTTGTCTCTTATTTCATGTGTCTTCTCTTTTGCCATTTTCCTACTCCTTTGATACTGGGAACAAAATAGGAAAGATAGTTATTCTTTATTATAATATTCCATTACCTGGAAAACTTCTTTAAGATGAAAGAAAACGCTGCTCTTCAACATTGTCTAAATAACTGATTGATCTCCATACATTTTTCTCCTGCTCTCATTTTCCTTTACTCCAAAATTACACAGTAAAAGATTACAACTCCGCTTGAATAACTGCCACACATTTTCAAAGACCATCTGAGGAGAACTACAATGTCCTCAAGAGCTCTTTAAAAGGTCTCATCTATTTCAAGGCCTTGAGATATGATCCAATACATAGGATGGATCGGGAGTTTAAGTCTAGACTCAGAATGAGTTTTTTTTAACAAAGGAAGCAAACTTGGAAAGCTACCAGGGCAGGGCCATCTTTTTCACACGTGCGGAAACTAAGGCAGTAGTCTAAAACAAGGTTATTTCATATATGTCCCCGCTAATGGCATAAAGGTGCTATTTCAAAATACAAAATGTAGATATCCACATCAATTTTGCTTAAAATTCTTAAAGAACATTCAGATGAATTTTTCTCAGATCCTAAAGGAATCTTGGACAAAACTAAGCCGTTTTTATAACCGTTGGCCCTTCTCAATTATCTTGATATTTTTAAACTTAAAGGAAGCCCTTATGTCAAACACAATGGTTTTATTTCCTTGGGAATGATTTTGTATTTTGAAATAGCACCTTAATGCCATTATCAGATTCCAGGATCTCCTAAAAGTTACGTTTTCCCACTACGGTGTCCCCACCATCGAGGGGACGCCGGAGCGGGCGGCGACCGGGCTGGCCCGGGCCCTCGCTCCGCACCCATTTTGATCTGTGGAAGGGCGGCGGGCAGGGACAGAGACGACCGCGACCAGACAATGTCCTGCATTCACAGGGGCCTCGGCCAATCACAGGCCGGCGCCTCTCGGTCCCGCGCGGCGCCACCGGCCACGGTTCGGCCGGAGGAAAACCTGGCCTCCGGGCAGCCATCTGCGGCCATTGCGGCCAT